CAACCAGTTTACTGCCAAGTTCGAGGGCATGTTCCGAGACATGGAGTCGTCCGCCGAACTGTCTTCCGGCTACAGAGATCATATCAGGGGTCTTGGCGATGTCGAACGTAAGCAGATCGACCTTGCCGTCAACATCCTGACGACCAACTCATGGCCTCCCGACATCATGGGACGCAACTCGCAATTCGCCGATGGTGCCGGCTGCAACTGGCCGGATGAGATAAAACGCCTGCAAGACAGCTTGCTCAAGTTTTATCTTACTAACCGCAGTGGCCGCAAGTTGACATGGTTGGGCTCTACCGGTAGCGCAGATATCAAGATGGTTTTCCCTGCTATCCCTGGTGGTAAAGGACCGCTGTCGCGCGAGCGACGATATGAGCTAAATGTCCCGACATATGGCATGGTCGTCCTCATGCTTTTCAATGAACTGGAGGAGGATCAGGAGCTGTCTCTGGAGGAGATTCAAGCCAAGACCAACATTCCCACACCCGATCTCACTAGGGTTCTTGCTTCCATCTCCATCGTCCCGAAGGCCAGGGTTCTCCTCAAGGAGCCCGCCACCAAGTCAGTCAAGGCCGGGGATAAATTCAGGTTCAACAGCGCCTTCGTCAGCAAGCAAGTGCGTATCAAGGCTCCCATCATCAACGCTACTTCAAAGGTCGAGGGCGACGAGGAGAGGAAGCAAACCGAAGAAAAGAACAATCAGACCCGTGCTCACGTCATCGACGCTGCGCTCGTGAGAATCATGAAGTATGCTATCCTGCCAGCCTTGCGCTGTGGTATTGGCTAACATTTCACAGGCAACGCAAGGAGCTCACCCATACGCACCTCCTTAGTGAGGTCATCGAGCAACTCAAAAGTCGTTTCACGCCTGAGGTCACCCTCATCAAAAAGCGCATCGAGGATCTGATTGTCCGCGAGTACCTCGAACGAGTGGAGGACGTCTCGACCCCGACTTACCGCTACCTCGCTTAAGCTTTTTAAAGCTTACTCTAGTGAGCACGACGACGGAAATGATTATGATTTGAATAGAGGCATTTCGGGCTGCATCAGGGACGGTCAGGGTTTTTTCGGCATTGGCGTTTGGGGGGTGAGTCGGTTGGTCAGTAGCTATTGCGCACATCTTTGAGAAAAGTGGCCGGCGGCGGAGAGCTTAGGCAGTGAGCCTATCTCGTTGAGTCTCGAGGCCGTTTGACTTTCCATAAGCTACAGGCAGTCGTTGGGGTCTGAACTGGCTAACGGTGGGTGAGATTCAGGCGGTTGTATATATTACTTTCGCATGTACGAATTTCAAGGGACTTCTTGCATGATTTCTATTCTTTCTCTGTTCTCGTCTCTGCCCGTCGTCCCCCGGTCATAATTCGTACCTCTGTATTCTTGCGCAAGTCATATCCGCATCAACGCGAGAGAGAGGCCGTTGGTTTTGATAGCTTCGAAGAGGAAGCCGATGGCTCTGGTGAGCACATGGTTCATCGTCATCGAGGGCCATAAGCTATAAGATTGCATCCTATGCTCTAAGAACGTAGCTCCACGGGCCAATGTAGTCGAGTCGAGGTTGACTTCGGTACGTGAGCCGTTGCCTCCGCTTCTGGTTTTTTTTTTTTTTTTAATGTCCTCTTACAGAGGTACCGTCACCCTCAAGCTTTGATCCATTTGCGGTTGCTTGAGGGTACTTAGTATCGGAATACTTGGGGAGAGACAGGCCTGACGGACGGTGATGTGACTCTTGAAGGTTGCCTTGTATTCTTCCATCCGCAACATGGGGTTCTGTCTCTGGCTGTTAAGATGATAGTTGGGATAGCTTCTTTTTGTTCAGAGGGTGTGGTACGCAGATTTCATTTGCCTCGTTGCTGTTGTTTGTTACACAAATTGAGCGCTTTATATAGGCGCTCGCAATGGTTCAGCCTGTCTTCGTGTACGCTGCGGGGTCTACGCTCAGGTGGGCTCCAGCGTGCTCTGGGAGTGCTTTTAGAGTGGTGATGATGAGTCGTATAAATACAACTGATTGATGATAGTCTCAACTTGTTGCAACACATTCAATGAACATGCTGGCTGTGAGTGCCGATGGGAGTGAGGGATCGCCGTTTGTCATGAGATTATGATGTTCTGCTTCTATATGGGGAAGGGAAGATTCGAGAGTTATCTGAGCTCAGAAAAAGTCATGCTTGGGCGAATACTCAGAGAAGGATAGAAATATCAGAAGACGCTGACCATATGATGAGAGAAATCTCTTGAGAGACTGCACAAACTTGACAGGCCGTCTGGGGTGCTGCTCATCTTGGAAAACCAACACAATGTCGGAGCACAAGCGACATTGTTGCTGTCTGTAATAAAATGATACCAAGATGGTCCTTTTATAAGGTGCGTGGTGCACAGAGTGAATATAAAAGGAATGCTGCGCCAAAGGCTGGGTGTTAACATGCGCAACACGCAATCGCCATGTTCGTTTCGGATCTGTTCGTTTCGAAGGGAATCAGATTATGTTGACTACGTAAAAGCTGCGCCCAGCAAAGGCGGCCAAGAGCTACGTAGTGCTTCTAATTATCACGTATTGGGCAAGATTTATATGTATGAATACTTGAGAAGCTCTGCTTATCAGGTATTCACTGGTGAATATCTGAAGAAGGCAGGAGGAAGAAGGCGAGAGCCCTGGTTATGGAGGGAACAAGGACATAATTACAAGAACCTCCTGCGCAGCCATATGCCTTTTTTGATGCGAAGCTCCACGAATACTAATTGGAATACTGAAGTAAAAGTGAAGAACGATTGGGATGGGTGGAAATTTTGAGCTTCAACTTCATGGTTATAGGAATTTGGTTTCGAGGAAAACGTCTTGCAATGATGAGTGCATTAGGCACAAAACAACGAAATGGATGGCATTGGCACACGATTTGCTTGCTCCATAGTAGTATCACTCTTGCCAGGCTTAAATAGACTTCAGCGGGGTTGATCACAACCACAATAACTAGTTTACTTCACACTGTGACATCTCCGGCAACCGCCGTGAGAGGTGGGCAGATACCGAGATACCGTGATACCTCGAGGCTGGGAAGATCTCTGCCTGGAATGGTGTTGCCACAGATATCTTAGCATAACAGATATTCTATTATCATCGCCCTTCGCATTGGAAATAGCGGTCAGCTAAGCATATGGTGATAATTGATGTCGCTGTTTTATCATAGCCTCAACCTTCTCGTTCCTTTACCTCACAGCTTGGTGCTCCCAGCAGGTCCATCAACCTCCCCAAACAACTCCATAAACGCTCCATGAACCTCATCAGTGAGATCGCTCGCCTGCAAACTCCTCCCCTTCTTGACGAAAGCCCGCCTCGAGCACTCCCTCGTAATCGCACATCCTCCGAACGCAGCCAACCTCACCAACTCCGCCTCTGCAAGCTTGCTGTCTCCCGTATCCCACAACCCATCAAGATACGCTTTCCTCCACCCCAAAAACGTCGCAATCGACCCCGTCAGCGTATCCCCCTGCCCACCACTCCTCTTCAACCCGCCCTCGAGGTCAACAATAAAGGTATCCTCCCCATTCGTAATAAAATCCTTCGCCCCCTTCTGCACAACCGTAACGCCCTCAAGCGCCCTCGCCAGCGCCTCAACCTTGGCCGTCTCCTTCTCATCCTTCCCCCCCTCCGTGCCCTCCTTCGCCTTCCCCTCATCAATCCCAAGAGCCTTGCACAGCCGCGAGAACTCCACCACGTTCGGCGTGAGCACCGCCAGCGCGTACCCCTTCACGAGCCCGGGGTCCTTCTGCACGAGCTGCAGCGCGTCCGCGTCGAGCACCAGCGGGATCGAGCGCTCCCTGGCGGCGCGGATGACGCGCGCGACGGTATCCTGCATCAGTGGGTCGCGCCCGAGGCCGGGCCCGATGACGAGCACGTGCAGGCGAGCGAGCATCTCGACGATGGGCGCCGAGATCTTGTCCGCGTCCGGGGGGGCGGAGGCGGCGGTGTCCTCGGAGGGGGACTGGCGCATCAGGGGGTGCACCATGAGGTTTGGTGAGTAGGTCTTGATGGTGGCTGCGGCGCCGGGGGTGCAGATTACGTGTGACTGTGCGCGTCAGTTCCGAACCCAATTGCGTACGCCTGGATGGCGAGGATCGTGGAAATGGGAGATTTTGGGGGGCCTACCATATCGCAGCCCAGTCTGGCGCTCGCCATGGCTGAGAAGTACGGCGCTCCCGTGTAGTCCACGCTACCGCCGATGACGGCGACACGGCCCAGCTGTCCTACGAATTGACTGTCAACCCCTCTTTCCGCCAAATCCGCGAGGATGCCGTACCTTTATGGAACTTCTCCAGCATGGGCGGAACCATCCGCTGAACGCGGCCGAGGATCTCCTTCGTTGCAGACGACATGGCGGGGGCGGGGTCAGATGGCATCGCAAGCTTGAATGTGCGCACAGTGAGCTGATGTGTAGGCTAAATACCGCAGTGGAACAAGCGGGAATCGCTGGTAAAAAAGCGAGGCCGACCGTGAATTAATTGCTGTGAGAAAGAGCGAGTGACCTCCAGAGCTTGACGTATGAATTGGGTTTGAAATTCGTACGAGGGGCAGACGTTTGGCGAGTTGAGATCAGAAGCTCTGACAAGCGAATGATGTCACTTGCCGACATCCCCGACGCAATCCACTCTGATGACAACTCCTCGAACAATACTCATCTGCCACTCCATCTCACATGCCTCAAAACACCATTTTGAGTCTATCAAATGCATCGATGACTTGTTTGTTTTCTTTCACACTATCGCGACCACACCGAAGAAGGTTGGGAACGAAGACAGACGACGAGATTGACAGTTGCGATCACAGCAAGGGAGACAATGACAACATGGAACAAAATGAGATACGTTCAATCATGGTATAAATTTGCTTCTAAGTAAACGTCCAAACTGCCAGATAACCGTTCGTCGCGCCCCAGACATTAGCATGTCACATAAGTTTTCGTGGTGCTTAAAATTCATAAAAGATGCCGCTCGCCAACAATCCCCGTTTATGCCTTGACAATCCTGCAAACCAAGTCCGAACCGTCGACTGAGTCGCCCTCCTTGACCTGGAGGGTGGAGACCTTGCCGTTGTGAGGAGCAGAGATGACCATTTCCTGGGCATCATGTTAGTATATAGCTCACAAGCAGTATCGGCAGAGAAACTTACCATCTTCATGGCGCTGAGAACAGCGATAGGGTCACCCTTCTTGACATCAGATCCGTCCTTGACACGGAGCTCAACCAAGACACCAGCCATGGGTGCGCCGACCTGGCTGGAGTCGGAGGGGTCGGCCTTGGGACGGCTGACGTTCTCAACCGAGGCCTTGTTGTCGTCGACGGTGACTTGTCTGACTTCACCGTTCATCTCGTAGAACACCTCGCGCTGGCCAGTGTTCTCGCTCAGAGGACCAATAGCAAGGAGCTTAAGAATGAGGACCTTGCCCTTCTCGAGCTCGACATGGAACTCCTCGCCGATCTCGGGACGAGACAGGAAGTATTTGGTGGGCAGGACGGAGAGGTCACCGTACTTCTGGATGAACTTCTTGTAGTCCTCGAAGACCTTGGGGTACATGACGTACGCGGCAATATCACACTCGGTGATGGGACCGCCGAACTTCTTGTGGAGGTCACGCTTGACCTTGGCGAAGTCAACGGGCTCAAGGAACAGACCAGGGCGCTTGTCCAGCTTCCTGCGGCCACGGAGAGCGTTGGAGCGGAGGGGCTCGGGGAATCCGCCGTACGGCTGACCCATCATACCCTCAAGGAACTCCAGGACGGAGCCGGGGAAGTCGAGCTCGGAGGCACGGGCCTTGACGTCCTCGGCGGTAAGCTTGTTGGAGACCATGAACTGGGCAAGGTCACCAACGACCTTGGAGGTGGGCGTGACCTTGACGATGTCGCCAAGAAGATCGTTAGCGTGCTCATACGCCTTCTTGGTCTCAGCCCACTGCGTTCCAAGACCCAATTGAGATGCTTGGAACATCATGTTGGTGAGCTGACCACCGGGGATCTCGTGCTCGTAAACCTCAGGGTCAGGGCCAGCGAGGTGAGCCTCGAAAGGCGAGTAGAGCAGGCGCAGCTGCTGCCAGTAGGTGTCCAGAGCGCGGACGTGGGCAGGGTTCAGACCGGGGTCGAGATCACTGCCCTCAAGGGAAGCAATGATGGCGTTGATGCTGGGCTGAGAAGTCATACCAGACAGACTGTCGGTGGCAGCGTCGACAGCATCGGCACCAGCCTGGGCGCAAGCGACCATGGAGGCAACACCCGTACCCGCGGAGTCGTGGGTGTGAACGTGGATGGGCAGCTCGGGGTACTTCTTGCGGATTGCGCCGACCAACAAAGTAGCTGCATGGGGCTTGAGGACACCAGCCATGTCCTTGAGACCGAGGACGTGGATGTCGAGAGCAACCAGCTTGTCGACCAAGTCGAGGTAGTACTCGAGGTTGTACTTCTTCTTGGGGTTGAGCACTGAAAACTGGTTAGCAAATGTGACGATGATCATGAATAGAACACAGGGGAAACTTGCTGTCTCCTGAAATGCACACTGTTCCTTCGACAACACCTCCAGCCTTGTGGACGGCCTTGATACCAACCTCAAGCTGGTCAATGTCGTTCAGGGCGTCGAAAACACGGAAGATATCGACACCATTCTTCTTAGCCTGCTCGACGAAGTGGTCGATGGCGTTGTCGGGGAGGGACGCATAGGCCACACCGTTGGCTCCACGCAGAAGCATCTGGAAGGGGATGTTGGGGACTGCCTTTCTCATGCGGCGCAGACGGTCCCAGGGGTCCTCGTACAGGAAGCGGTAGGCGACATCGAAGGTGGCACCTCCCCAGCACTCCAGAGCGTACAGGTTGGACAGGGCGTGGCTGGTCTCCTTGGAGATGTTCAGGAGATCAACGGTACGGACACGCGTGGCCAGAAGCGACTGGTGGGCATCACGCCATGTGGTATCCATCAGAAGGCAGCCCTTGTTGGCGCGAACGGCCTTGGCGAACGCCTTGGGGCCCTGGTCGACGATGATTTGTCTCCATCCCTTCTTGCAGGGCTGAGAAACATCGAGCTTGGTGCCGTCCTCCTTGAGAAGCTCGGGCAGGATGATGTCGCCCTTGAACTTAGGCTCACCAATCTGGCCCTTGATGCTGCTACCGTTGACGGCAACGTCTCCAAGGTACGCGAGAAGCTTCTGCGCACGGTTCTGGCTGCCAATAAGGTCAAACAGCTGAGGGGTGTCGTCGATGAAGGTCGTCCAGCAGTTGCCATCGATGAAGGTGGGGTGCGTCAGCAGAGACGCAAGGAAAGGAATGTTGGTCTTGACACCACGGATACGGAACTCGACAAGGGCACGGAGAATCTTTCTGCGGGCAATCTCGTATGTTGAGCCGTGGCAAGTGCACTTGACCAACATGGAGTCGTAGTAGGGGGTAATGACGGCACCGGCGAAACCGTTACCACCGTCGAGACGGACACCGTTACCACCGGCAGAGCGGTAGACCTCAATCTTTCCGGTGTCGGGGGAGAAGCCCTTTGCGGGGTCCTCAGTGGTGATTCTGCACTGGATGGCAAAACCTCTAGTGGAAATGCGGTCCTGTGTCAGACCGAGCTGCTGCAGAGTAGCGCCAGCGGCGATCTGGATCTGGGCGGCCACGATATCGATACCCGTGATCTCCTCAGTGATGGTGTGCTCGACCTGGATACGGGGGTTGATCTCGATGAAGTAGTACCTGTTCTGCTGGTCGACCAGGAACTCGGCGGTACCAGCGTTGCGGTAGTTGACCGACTTGGCCAGCTTGACAGCGTCGTTGAGAATAGCATCGCGAGTCTCGGTGGGGAGGTCCTTCGCCGGAGCAATCTCGACGACCTTCTGGTGGCGACGCTGGACGGAACAGTCACGCTCGTAAAGGTGGACAATGTTGCCGTGGTTGTCACCGAGGAGCTGGACCTCAATGTGCTTGGGCTTGTCGAGGAATCTCTCGACGAAGACGGTGCCGTTGCCGAAGGCAGACTTGGCCTCGGAGGTGGCTCTCTCAAAGGACTCCTTCAAGCTCTCCTGCTCGCGCACGACACGCATGCCGCGACCACCACCACCGTAGGCGGCCTTGATGATGATGGGGAAACCATATTGATCGGTGAAGCTCTTGACCTCCTCAAAGGTGGCGACGGCGCCTTCGGTACCAGGGACGACGGGGACATCGGCAGCGATAGCGAGCTTTCGGGCGGAGACCTTGTCGCCTAGCGAGTCAATGACATCGGCCGTAGGTCCGACGAACTAAAACGGGCCCCGAGTCAGTGGGTTGTCAGATTTTAGGGGCTGCTACAGGATCTCTTACAATGAGGCCGGCCTTCTCAACGTTGCGCGCAAACTCGGCGTTTTCTGACAGGAAGCCGTATCCTTGGTGGATTAGCACATGTCAAAATGGTGGTTTTTTGGGTGCTCTTACCTGGGTGAATCATCTGCGCGCCATGCTCAACGGCAATCTTGATGATCTCATCTCCAGCGAGATAAGCACCGACCGGGGTGTATTGACCGCGCTTGCCAATGACGTATGCCTCGTCGGCCTCTGTGGAACAATGGTTAGAGGAGAACGGAGAGGAGAAGCAGCTGCGTGAAGGACATACTTTGTCTGTGCATGGAGAGACGGTCCTCATAACTGTGATGTTTAGTATGCGAAACTTGGTTCGGGCCAGGCGATGTGTTTTACCTGAAGACAGCGATGGTGTGCAATGAAAGCTCGTGGGCCTACAGAGAGTCAGCGATGCGTCGCAAGATGTGATGTCGCAACCGGTTGGGTTACTTACAGTTCTGAAAATCTACACGGGCAGAAAAGTAAGCATTGCAACTCTAGATAATACCTTGAGCGTCGCGGAAGTTCAACATACACGAATGGCTGAACGACTGTTAGCTTGCGTGAGTCAGGGCCGGATGAATGGATGTACTTACGAATTTCACCACGGTTGGCAACTAGAGGCATGGAGACACTGGTCAGCGCAATTCTCGAGGGATTGGTTCGGATAGCTCCGTCGAGCTTCGAGCCAGCTCAAAGAGGTTCAAGCTTACCCAGAATCTTCTTCAGGTGCATGATGCTCGAGTTGGCACGGATGTGGTGGATGGTCTGGGGGTCCTTCTGGACCTCCTCGACATCGCCGTCCTCGAAGACATCGTTGAATGTGGGCTGCGTCTGGGCCATGATGGGCAGTTGTGCAGCGTGTGGGAAGGTGTGAGGAAAGAAGGAAGAGAGTTTCGAGAGGGACAACGGCCTATTTTGAAGGGACCGAGGGGCAGGGAAAGCTGTTGAGGTCTCAAGTGCGAGACAATTGCGTCGGCTCTCGGTTGGCGGGGTGGTTTGGTTTGGGTCTGGTCTAGGTTGGTGGGGTTCTCCCAGGTTTCCAATCCCAAGCTTTTAGACGCAACAAGCTCGTCGGACGTGCCGCTTGCTTGGGGGTGTGTGTGGTCTGGTCTCTGGCCGCCTGTCTTTCAGGTGCAGATCAGGCGCAGCAGCAACAGATGCGGCGGCGGCGGGTACAAGGGTCAGGGGGAACAGAGTCCAGATGAGCCGAAGCACCGAAGCAGAGAGACGCGCCGTGTGTGGTGGGCTGAGAAGTTGAGCCGACGGGATTCGATTCGACGGGGTCCTGAAGTGAGAGGACGTGGAATGAAAGCCGAGGGGTAGCTAGGGAAGCTTGCTGGCTCTTTGCCGGGGTTAGGTAGAGAGCTTCGATGACAAGCGAGCACAGCTCTTTCTCTCTTTCTTTTTTGCGCTCTTACACCCGTCCGACCGAAGGGTACGGGAGTGGATGTCGGTGGGTGGGGGGGTATGACGGTGGTGGTAGCGAACAAGCAGTGGTATCTGGGGGAGCACAAACGACGATGTAATACTATGTACGCAGCAGCAAGAACAGCAGCGGCCGGCGGACAGATGGCGGAGGACGAGGAGAGGAAGAGAAGAGGGACGGGATGAACACGAAGCTCGTGGGATGAGGGGATTTTATTTGTATCTGGGTTGGTGCCAGAAAGGTAAATGGCATGTCTGTCAGTCCTTCCCTCTTCGCCAGGGCTCGTCTCCTCGTAGGTACACCCCGGGCAGCAGGAGGGGAGACCAGAGCAGACCAGACAGATCCATCTGAGAGGGCCATGTCCATCCGTCAACTTCAGACCAACCTAAAGATGGCATTGGCTCTGGCACTGGGGCTGGCAACGCACGAAAAGGCCGACCTCTCCGCGAGACGTGGTGGTCGACTGTGAGGGAGTGGTGAGAAAGTAGAAACCGACTGGCGACGGCACCGGAGGCCCCTCCCCTGTCGCCCCTCGTCGTCATGAAGGAGGGGACCTTGTCTCCAGCAGCTAGCGCGAAGTAAAGGCATGCAGCCAGGTAGAGAAGTATCCGGGTACCTCCATGTCGAGGAGCGAGATGCCGCGAGATGAGGTGCGTGGCAGCCAGCCAGGTGCATCAGATGGGAGGTGTAGCTGGTGGAAAGAGGACCAGCGGAGGGGGAGGGGTAGAGGGGTGTCCAGGTGGGTTTGCGTACCGCGGTACAATGGAAGTCCCAAGTCCCATCCTGAAGGGCAGGCAGGTACGTACCGGACCTTTCTTACCTTCCTTACCTCCAGCGGACCTTACCTTTCTCTGGCTGCTGCTGGGACGGGAGCTTAGGCCACCCTGCGATAGCAGCTGCCCACTCAAAACAGCACGCTTTGTCGCGGCTACCCTTTTTTTTTTTTTTTTTTTTTTTTTCTCTTCCTCATCGCCCTGAGAAATGCAATGACATGTCTCGCCGGCATTCGGCGTTTGTACCTCTCCCACCTGACGACGGCGATGATCACGCTGCTGTGTGCCGTACATTTCATCGAGCATCCTTTGCCTCAAAGGGCAATGCAGTTAGTCAATCTTTCAATAGACTGCCCGTTCTCTGCTTGCTGCTCGTCGTCTGGCTGATGACCCTGGAGCCCAGATCCTGGTAGCGTAGCGTGCGGATACATGTGAAATCCCAACCTGAGATGGTGATACCTCTTGGCTTCGCAATGCCCCGAGAGCAGCCCTGAAGCCCTGAGAATAGCAGCAAGCCCCCCGCCCATCCCTGACCGAGAGATACCACAGGTGTTTCCACGGTTGAGATACTGGCCATTGCCCATGCCCACGCCCAGCCTCTCACTCTCAGTCTCCCCGGCGGGCCGGTGCCTTGACCGCAGCTCCTGAGACAGTTGCTGAGAATGCCCAGAGATGGGATCTGCAATCAACAACAACGAAACAAAACAGAAAGCGGCACCTTGATATCTATAGACTAAACGTCAGCACCGCCGCACATTGACTCAGGCCCAGATCCACGCCAGAGACGAGGGTGCATTCGCCGTTGAGACGCCAGCGCTTGCCATGTCAGTTTCCCCCTCAAACACGACTTCGAGTTACCTGACAAGTAACAAGTGTCCGTGGTAGTAAATCTAAAAGTAAAAGGCGATGATGGCGGGGTCGCAAAACACCGCTAAACCCCAACCAATTGGCCAACCACAGCTCGCCGATACAAAACTGCTTTCCTCCGGTTTGACTAACAGATTCCTGGAAGCAACAGAGCCAATTGCGGCATAGCGACAATGGCAGTTGCAGACTGCATTGGAGGGAAAATCCAGCCTGCAGAGAAAGTCAGAGTCAGGAAAGCAGCAACTGCCTTATCGTAATTACTTGCTTGAAAGAGCCAAGCACGAATTACCTACCTGAGGTGCCTTCGCAGTAAGAGGAAAGACCAGCAGCCAGGCGTACCTGACTTGTAGACCCAAGCCAATTGGATTGGCAAGACACGCCGAGTGCCGGTGTCTTGCACCTCCCCCAAGCACACACAACCTTGAAGCACTCATTCTGCAAGTGGTGGCGCCTGTCACAAGGCAAGCAAGGTTTCATGCACCAAAAACACTACACTGCACACCCTTCTTCGTAAACCAAGATACCGACATAATTTCCCCAATCCCGAGAGAATTGCACCCAACTCGGCAATCCTCGCAATCTCACGAGCTCTTCACGGGACTCCCCAGAGCTTGAAAAGCCTGTATGGGCTCTCCCCGGGCGCGACCACTGCCGAAGGCCGAGGATAACACGGCTGTCCACCCGACTACACGGTCACGGATCGGACGTCCGCCTCTCTCGACGGCCTGACGTCCACCCAGCCCGTGCTTCTCTTCGGGACAACTCGAGGCGATATCAGTCGTTGCGATGAAGTTCTCGGGACGCCGTTCCTGACCATTTTCGCCCCGCGGTCCAGCTCGTCGCAGAATGCGGGGTGCACGGGGTGACTTGCACAGGGTTCTGCCTTTTGTTTACCCTTTGACGTCTTATTCTTTTCCAGACGGCTTCGCTAGGGAGAAAAACAATATCCGAAATATCGTCAACCTCGGCCTATTGCACCGAGGGGCATGCCCGCAAGACAGCGACCGCCGGCTACCCTTCCGCCACCAACCACACCAGCGGCCAGCCCTGGGATGGGATGGGATGCGACACGGCAAGGCAGGCCACGCCGACCTTGGCCCGGACTGGCTACTGCAACCGCCAACCGCCGCCGCCGCGACCGCCCACTTCACCTTACGATGTCCATCCAGTTGGATCATCACTGACCACATGTAACTACAAGACGGCAGCCATGAAGCCACTCGCCAGAAGCGCACCATCCCAGGCACAGGACCCAAATCGCCCAGGTCCCTCCGTCAAAACAAAACCGCGCAGCCCCCATATTACTCGAAAGTTATTCCCGGTCCACTGACTCTTGAGGTGAAATCCCCGGACCACGCTGGGCCTGGGTCTTGTCCCGTGTTCCCCAAGAGGAACAAGTCCTATGAGATCGGGCACGCCAGAGACTGAATCATCGGCTTTGAGCCGGTGCATCTGGAGGTGCAACTGCAACTCGCCGTATCAACCATCTCGACTCGTTACACCGCCAAGGTGCCACTCTGGATCTCACTTGTGCTGCAAGCCTGCGGGCGACTCGGCCAGATTATCCTGCGCAGTTCAAGCCCAATGTTCCGGGTCGTTTCCAAGACTCTTGGCCCCCCATCGAAGCCTTGACGTCCCCGTTTTCTCTTTTTCTCGCTAGATCCAATCGCGTCGATATCAAAGCGCGAGCGGCATTTGCAACAAGGAAAGAAAAAAAATTGCCTGCTCACCAACCTAAACCCACCATGCCATACCTACCATGGTGATGACTCCCCAACCACATCTGGATACTCCGACGTCGGCTCTGCCGGCATCTCGTTTCCCAGGCCCCCATTCACTCAAAGCGCGCAAGCAACATAGTGCGTCACGGTGTATCTCCAGTCCGCCAACGAGGCTGGACGACGATGGAGTTGTCAATGGTAATGAGAATTAGCCACAACATCACCACACTATGCGACATTTATTTCAGCCTGGCCGCCTCAGCTCCTGATATCGGTGCTGGTCGCCCCCCTTCTCCCTGCCACCTTGCGTGATCGCCTGCCGTGTGTGACTCTTTCGAGTCGGCGGATATCAAAGGTTATTTGAGGCATACGCAGCAGTCTTCGTACCCGCCCTGCACCCCACGATTAATAACGCCGGACTCCAGCGGTGCATGCGCGGCGGTGCCAAGGACACCAGGGACGAGATGGATCTACACTCGGCCGGCCGTCCGGCGAGATCATGCCCAGGTGCCAACATCGACAGAGAGAGTGGGGGTCATGTCGGTGCTCTCGCAGTTTCGGAGAGACATCCACTATTCAGTCTGTCCACGTTCGAGCAACCTGTGGACGAGATGAGACGACACCTATTTTTGACTCATCGAATCTCTCTCGTTGTTTGTCCAGAGTCCTGGTCAACCCCTCCTCGACCTCCTGTCTCTGGCCCCGGCCCTTGAAACAAAGCGCGAATCGCCCGAAATAGGAGGGCTCCGCTCCGCTCCGTCCAGCTGTCACTGCACCACCGACAATGGATGCGCGCAAAAAAAAAAAAAAAAAAACTACGAAGAAACTCACGGGGAAACCTTTCCAGACTTCCCATAGTTCGGATCAAGGCCCCGAGTGCGGCGGTCCACCATCAAAGCACCGCCGCTTGACCATGATTGCAACCGCCGTTGTCACTGCTACCCTCCACATCCAAGTTCCAGACCTCTTGGCTATCGCGGCCAAGAGAAACTCTCTCACACACACTTTGTCACTCAACCTTTTTGAACATGTTTGTCTCTTGCTCTCACAGTT